TGTTGTTGCTGCTGTGGATGCTGATCGTAGGAGTAAAAAGAACGATGCTGTTGTTGCACCTGGGGCACTTGCTGGTGCTGTAGAGGTTGTGCCAGTGGCTGTGCTCCTGGTTGCTGTGCTGCTGTCGACTGTGTTTGCTGCTGTGGTGCTAGAGGTGTCGCCTGTTGCTGGGCATTCAAGGCCCCAGCAGTGCTCTGGGACGGGACTCGTCCATGGCCATAGTAGCCATACGAGGACTGATCGTTCTGCATTGTAGCTCCTCTCCTTCTCTCTCGTTCGGTACAGGTAGTTCTACCTCTTTCTGATAGATACAAGCCGTGGTTTTGCTTGTTTCCGTTTGTTTTTCAAAGAGTTGCACGCCTGGAAAACTGTTTTTCGCCTCGTTTTTTTAAGGTAAATTCCGAGAGTGTTTGTTTTCGTCCTCTTCTCTTGTTCTTGATAGGGTCTTTCCCTTGCTCTGTGATCTCCTTCCTTACAAACTCTTTGAGGATTCAACTCAATGGATCAATGACCAACGTCTGATGGTGTTGCTCAATACTCAAAAGAAAAAAAAGGGGGAAGAGACAGCGTGTCTGCTCGTTTTATAGCTATACGTTTTGATCTGGTCAGGATGTGTGTCCGTGTCTGTGTGTGTACACTTTGTGTTTTGTTTCTTTTTTTGTCTGTGCTTTTTTGCTTAACTTGCCTGTCCGTTTGTCGCCCGCCAGGAAAATAGGAAGATCACACTCGAAGGGGAAGGTCAAGGACAGAAAGAGAATCCGAACTACAATGTGAATTTTGTGTTTTTTTTTTCGTTTTTTGCAGTTTGGCCATTTTAACCAAGGGGCGGAAACCGGGTTATAAGTAGGTCTTTGAGTTTTGTAAGTCCACGGTTGGACAAATTTCTCAAATTCATGCGTTGTGGTGCATAGGCACCAGCGGCTGTGCGCGGTGACTACATCGTAAAGCATCGAACCTACCCGTGTTTCAAAGCTCGAGTGCGTATCAAATATGTATGACTACATACCTGTTGTTGATGCTCTTTCGTACAACTGGTGCCTCCACCACGGCGACATACATAAGGGAGTAGCATATATGACGGTTGCATCCTTGGGGGGGGGGCTCCCTTTAGAATGATTTGTGGAACGTGTGTGTATCAACTGCAGCTGAGGTTTCAGTTCGATATAACTCGAAATCATTTGAGACGACTGGAGAGAGCCCTAACTACCCACATCAAGGAAGAGAGGGGGAACCCCGGCCCATTCGCCTTCTTCGACGTTCTTCGTGAACGGTTTAACCGCTTTTGCAGTTCTAACTTTCCAGCTCCCAATAATCGTCATTCGTACAACTTTAATGCTAATGGCCTTGGTCCGACACCAGACCATTCGTTAAAAAATAAAAGTGATGGTCATGTACGCAAAGCTCTCCGTAGTTGCACAACGCCAATGGCTTGATCGATTCTACAGAACAGCGGTCGAGACTTGAATTATTCGGGAAGGAGGGTGATGCAAATTGGAAAGGGAGACTGGTCCAGGGGACCCAAAGGACAAAGCCTGGTATTGGCGTGGACAAGTTTACAGCAGGCACACTTCGTCTATTGGCATATGAAAACGTTCTGAGCCACCAAAACTTTTCTCTCCAACGCTTCCTGCCCGCTGAGCATTCGCTCGCAGCAAAATACTCAGATCTGAGCGTCAGTATGCCTACTTTGCTGCTAATGTAGTCAAATTGAACGCATACTGATGCAATACACCCGCATTAAAGCGCGCAAAGAGGCAGTGAACCTACACCCGGAAGCATAACACCTCTCTAAGGTTCTGTAATGGGGAATTTTCGCGGGAAGAAGTTACAAAAAAGAAACGGGAAGTGCATAAGCGCCTAAAAAGGTTTCTAAATTCTCTGCTTTCCCACTGGAGCAATTTTGCTCTCTCACAAGGTCAAAGGAGAACTGCCTTTAAGCATGGGCAATAACTCCATCGTTCAACGTGTAGTCCTTGTACAAGTGAATTGGATCCAAGATTGCGGCGTACGATTTCAAATATCTCCGTAAAGTTCGTCGTGGTTGTTATAGTTTTTTCTTACTTTTCGCTTACACAACTTCGAATGAATTACGGGTGGGCCAGCCGTATAAAAAACGTTACAGCGTGGCATGTACTTGCTGTCTGTCCGTGTGTGGGTGTGCTTTTAACTTTTCATTTCTGGCCCGAAACCAAGGAGGCGAGAGAAATTGAACAAAAATCCAGGACGTTATCTCGAGCCCACACAACCCGAACTTGATTCAGTTTGTTTATACTTTTCCATACAAATAATATTCGAGCCAAATAACACAACTCCATGTCAGATACTATGTATGACCCCTATCAAAAGCTTGTGGTATACATATGTGATATAACTTGTCTCACATATCGGCTTCTATTACAGTTCAAACTCTAAATTCTAGTGTACGTGCATAGAAGTGGGACATTTCATACAGAGGGAGTGAAACCCTATGAAGGGTGCTTTCGGTTCGTTGTGTGAGTTCCTTGCTCTTTCGTCGAGCACATTGTAACTCGGCAACTGTGAGGTTGTTGTTACTTATCACCTGAATCCACGTCATCAGTATGAGACGTTTCTTGGGCTACCCAGGGCTTTTATTGTGTCCGTAGATCCAGTCTCGATTTTTGAGTTCCAAACCAGTCCAGCGCTTTAACTGTCCCTCCCCCTAAGCTCACATAGGCTCTCCCGCGTACAATTCATGTTTTGCACTTTGGAGTTCGTTTTGGTCGCCAAAGGTAAACAACAAACGCAAGTTACTGTGCGATAATATGGAGACACGTTCTATGAATCACACTTGCACTGGCTCAGCAGGACGTAACATCTGCCATCCATACAGAACAATCTTGAGTACGCTATGGTGGTGCTCATGCCATACACTGACCGCTGCCTCGCAGGAGATGGTTGGTTGCTTTTAGACGTTGGCTGCAAAGGCGGTTAAGCCTTTCGAAATGCTCTAGCATGTGTCTCATTGTGCCGACAGAGTTCAAAAAAGTCCAAACCAATGCAATCATAATCCTTGAACTGATGTCCTCACTCCTTGAGATCATCTGGCACACATATCGCATTCAAGGTAGCGAGATCCAGCACTATCCTCCACCAGCCTGTTGAGTTACCAAACAGTGTAACTATGTGGTCAATTGGGTTTTAGCTCCTGGTGTGATGGAAAAAAAAGAAACAAAAATTTGATCTCGGTAGTCCTGCAGTACCTTCCAAGCAGATGAGTATCTTAGAAGGTTTAAAACCTTCTTCCATGCCTGCCTCCAGCCCACAGAATGCAGACGGAGTCATCAGTAGAACAGAACGTTGTGGATATTATCGTGGCAGACAATCCATGTTACTATACTTTAGCATGTAATTGTACTGGGCCCACTTGTTCAGTTGACAAACTCTGGTGGAGAAATCGGAATGTATGACATTCCACAAAAATTATAAGCACTGCATGGATCCAATTGATAAACTCCCTCAACTCCCGAGCATGATCAAAACAACGCCGGGTAAAGTTGAGGTTCCGCCATGGAAAGCAACGTAAGGTAACTTGGGTTCAACTAACACTTGCCCGCCCACGCATGGGAGCTGTAAACGTTGCACAAGCTCAAAACTCTGTTATTTTTCTTTTTATACACGCGCATATCAGTCTGTAGACTGCTTGAACTTTGATCCCCTTTCAACTCATTAGCCATGCACATCACCGATGTTTTGGGGTTTTTCCGTAGCGTGGCCACCTCTTTCCGCGGCGGAGATTGCTCCCTCTGGTAACGGGTTCTCTTACGTGCTGCATTTTACCTGCCTCAGTTTGTCGGCCATATGTATTGTGTACATAAGTAAATCATACAGGCAAATCCCAAACTTTCAGGGTACTATATCACTCATCAACACTTGTCAACAAGCATCATACTGAGAAGAATAGACTGAAAGATTTGGTCTGTTTTGGTCTCTGTTGGTTTCTGTTGGTTTCTGTTGTTCAAAGCTGGATGATGTGTCTTGGAACTAAGACAGGCTGAGCTGGGGTTTTATGAAACCCGAGACAATCCATGTCAGTCCCTAGTTCGCATAAGGAGACAGATTATGACAGCAGAAGTACTACAAATATAGAGTTGACAACGAAAAAAACAACACTATGTTGGGGAAAGCAGTGCTCGCATTCCTTGATCGTGACAAGGGAAATCTCTTCAAATGTGTCCTTTGTTATCTTGTTTTTCTGGTTTGAACTTTGCTTTTGAGGTCTTTTGACATCCGCCTTTTGTGGGATTATCGTAGTCCTGGTTAACAGTTTCAATTCAATGTTTACCATTTCGATTCTCGCTAGATGTACACAGTAAGTGTCTCAAAGATATACCGTCTGCTTGAATATACATGCTGTGTATATATACTTTTAGATAATAAATCACGCTCTGCGCATGAAACCCAAAAATTTCTTCTTGTCCCTGCTCGTAGAACTTCCAGGAGCTCTTCTATCATCAGTACCGGCTGTTGATGGTTTCCGTCCAGCAGTTGAGCTTAAAGATACAAGCGAGCCTATCCTTGGAAGTTTGGAACGAAGTGTTCTTCTGGATATGATAGACTCGGTATCAAATGCAGAGGAAGCTGCAGTTGCAGTAGTGCCGGCAGTTGCCGTTGTCTCAATGGACTCACCTCTTCTCATAGTAGCTGATTGTAACTCATGATCTATATCAACAGATGTAGACTCTTCTGACTTCACTGATTTCACTGATCGAGGTTTCAGTCCTTCATTTTCAATATTGGCAGGTGTCAATGTCATGTCACGCTCCAAATCGCTCGCTAACAGCCTATTACCAAATTCCTCAAGTTCCTTTAAGCATTCGACTTTCTTCTGCTCAAGAGCTTTGGACATGTCCAGTGCATTTGAACAGCGTAACAACATTTTCATATCACATGCAAGCGCAGCTGTTTCATATATTATTTTCATTAGAGAATCATCTGGTGGCGGTGAATCTGGTGCTGCAATCTTCTCCCATGTAGCCAAATGTTCCTCATCTTCTTCTTCTTCATCATCTTCTTCTTGGTTGTTCTTGTCATTGGTTTTGTCTGTGGAAGATTTCTTTTTCACTGTAACATTGCTCACTAGACCAAGTCCAACACCTAAATCATCGGAATCAGATGTTGTTTTGTTATCGGTATCGTTAGGTGACGAGCTTGATTCTTTCACTTTCTGCTTTTCCATTGAAAATTCACCTTCTGGTACTGTTAAAACAATCTTACTGTTCTGAGTCACATCTGCATTGTCTTTTGGTGATAAAGAATCATCGTCAATGACACTTGATACTGTTTTTGATAATGGATCAATACTGTCCTCAACCTCAACCTTCTTTAATGATGATCGAGACATAGAATCTGTACGAAACTTGATTGGGGATCTGTTGACACTCACGTGCTCCACTACACTGTTCTGATCATCACTCTCTTCAGTATCATAATCCATGTGTCTTATTTCCCTTGACAAGCTTGATTTACCAAGACGGGTACGACGAGCAGATAAACGTCTTGGTGATGCGTCACAGCTGCTTCTGGGGGATGACGGTGTGCTGGTTATAGTGCTGGCTTTCCGCAGTAACTCCAAATTGAAATACCCATCGTCTACGGTGGCAAGGTATCCTTCAATTTGGTCAAAACTGGACTTAATATGAGCATGAGTGGTGCAAAACGTGTTGATTAAGTCATCATTGTTATGACAAACTTCATGGAGCTTCTTTTTAAAATCGTTAATCATGTCAACATATGCTTGCATCAAAGCGCTCTCTTTCTTCGAAATAACTGTGTAAATCACCTCTGAAATCAAATCGTAGAGCAATGGGAGCTCATAGAATTTCGCAATCAGTAACATATCTGTTGTAGTGGGTGTTAAAAGCCACTTATCACCCAATTGTCCGGTAAACAGAAACTCTGTGAGGGCTCTCACTGTTACTGTATGGAAAGGAAGATAAAGAGCTCTTGGAATCAATAGAGGCTCTAAAAACCCTTTCAAAGTATCATCACTGAGTAGTTCGGACCCGGTGTTTGAAAAGGTTTCATCATCGATGTTCGGAACACTTGAAGATCTC